GTCGTCCAGCCAGCAGCCCTTCTTGACGAGCTCGATGGTGCCCGAGCTGTTGCGCCAGGAGGCGTAGCAGTGCAGCCGCTTGTCCTGCTCGCCCTCGCAGCGCTCCAGGCCGCTCTGGTTGGTGCGCTCCAGCTCCCAGTTGGCGTTGTAGTAAATGCACTCCCGGGTCTCGGCCTCCCCACGCCCGGAACCTGTGCCCCGAAGGCGAGAGGTGAGAGAACGGCCGCGCGGTCCACACGCCCCTGCACCGGTCCTGGGTCCCGGGCCACCCGGAGGGAGGCTGGGTGGTGAGCGGGTGTCGGCCGGATGCCCCCCCCCCCAAACACACACATGCACACACCATCCAGACTGAATGGAAAGTAAGGACCCTCCAGTCCAGTGTCCCTCCTGCACCCAGCAACAACAGCTGGTGCTCAACAGGGCAGCAGAAGATCCTAAGAATGAGGCCGGCGTGCTCAGGGTAAGGCTCCCAGAGTCACCACAAGCAGAAGAAGGGCTGGCTCCCAGCTGGGCTTGGCCCCTGAAGACCCCTGTGAGCACCCCCAGCATTCCATGCCCTCTTCCACCCCTGGCATGAGTGCCAGCCGGGTGGCCAGGCACTTCCACCCCAACTGCCCCTTCAAATACTTCTTTCCTTCAAACATGGCCTCAAACATTCACCCAATCTACCTTTCTCACCATCCCTCCCCCAAGCAAGCCCATTCCAGTCCTCAAATCTGCCCCACTGCCCCCAGGCCCTATAATGGGAAGGGGGAAGGGGGAAGGAGGAAGGAGGAAAGGGATTATGGCCCCTAGACCTGACACCTGAGCTGAAGAGCTCTCCAGAACTCTGTTTGGGAGTGCCTTTACGGGGCACCCATGATCAACCTCACTGTCAAAATACCACACAGACGTCCGAGAGGAAACCAGCACCAAGCATCCACTAACCTCTCCACTCTTCTTGGGCTTACTGTGGGCCAGGGACCTGATGATGCCACCCCTAACTGGTATTCCCACCCCAGGAAGGAGGAAGGAACGGTCAGAGTCACCCCCATGGAAGGACAGTCAGCCAGCCCACCAGCAGCCAGGAGCCCTTTTCACCATCAGCCTGAAAGGCTGGCTGGAAGGGCCAAGGAGAGAAGACCCCATCCCAACCCCAACCCCCGCTGAAGAGCTAAGTGCCCAGAGTCCAAAAGCCCGAAGCCTCCCTCACACCCCTATACTGGCCATTGTGAGCAAATAGTGCACCCAGGGAGGACAATGACTGGCTGTCAGGCAGTAAGGGACCCCCCCCCCCAACCGCAGGGGTGGTCATTCTCTAGTCACCCTGCCCCTTCTGCATCTCTCTGCAGGGACAAGAGTCTCCTTCTAGAGGCCAGGGGCAAGCGGCAAATCTCGAAGCTCCAGGTAGGAGGACCCAAGGGCTCAGAATGTGATCCTATCAGAAAGCCAATGTCTAGCCATGGCTCTGGGCACCCAAGGACACTTAGCCTTTTTATTTTTATTTTTATGTTTTTTGTTTTGTTTTATATGTATATTTATTTCGAGAGAGAGAGAGAGCGAGCAGGGGAGGGGCAGAAAGAGAGGGAGAGTCCCAAGCAGGCTCCGTGCTCAGTGTGAGCTGCATGCACAGCTCATGAACGCGAGCTCATGACCTGAGCTGAAACCAAGAGTCAGATGCTGAACCGACTGAGCCACCCGCACACCCCTGAGCATCCAAGGACACCTGTAAGAAGGAAAAGAGTGGTCTCCCAACTACCCAGGCAGCTGAGACCCAGCATGGTCTACAGGAAAGGCCTCGGGGTCTACAAAGGGGCTTCTGCAGGGGTGCACGCTGGTTTCCCCCAGCCAAGCCCTTCATCGAGCGTGTAAGGTTTAAGGGGAGACGCTCAAAGGATGGAGTGAGCTGCGGATAGGGGTGCCAGCCACCCCTCAATCTTGCTTCCCCCACTGCCGGCACACCGCTCTGCCAGCCTCCTAAATACTCTCAGCTTCTGGGCTTAGCACGAGGGCTACCTCTGGCTGCAAGATCCTCCTCACCTTCTTTAAATTCTGGCTCTTCTCCGACTCTTGATTTGGGCTCAGGTCATGATCCCAGGGTCGTGGGATCGAGCCCTGAATCTGGCTTTGTGCTGAGCATGCAGTCTGCTGAAGATTCTCTCTCTCACCCTCTGCCCCACCCCACCCCCCACTCATGTGCACGCATGCACACTCTCGCGTAAAATAAAATAAGACACTATAAATGTACTTGACAATTGCTTTTTAAACGTCAGCTTTCCCCCATGAGACTGCAAGGCTGATGAAAGCAGAAGGCTTGACCACCTTCAGTGCAAGAACTAGTTCCGGACACATGATGGATGGATGGATGGAAAGACCAACGAACAGACAGAAGGACACAGCTGTCACCTGGCTAGGGCAGGATTTCGAAGGGCAGGGACAACAGGAGGCATGGCCTCAGCCCGCAGCCCAAGCTCTAGAGTCCTCAGGGGAGTTACCATCTCCATGCAGACAATCGCACCAAGCCCCTCTGCAAGCCTAGGAGCCAAAACACTGACAATGGCCTAAGGCTGGCCCAGCTCCTCTCTTCAAGGCCACTCACCAAGTAGGGACTCCTCTGGCCTTTACCATGGGCAGGACCCAAGTGGACAGGGCTGGGAACTCCAAATCTTAAGGCTCAGGGGTTCAGGATATAACTGGACCCTCATCTGACCAGCTCCTCCTACAGACAACTGAGAATAAGGCAGCCTCGAGCTGGCCGACTTTGTCCAAATCCTAGCTCGGATACTTCCGGGCTGTGTGACCCTGGGTAAGTTACCAATCTACCCCTATGCCTCTGTTTCCTCATGTGTGAAAAGGGGATGATAAGTCCACTTAATTCCTAGGGCTATTCCAGAGTCAAACGAGTTAATACATTTTAAAGGTAGTTAGGATCATGCCTGGCACATTAGCTGTTGTATTAGCAGCGACAGCCCTTCCTGCTGCCTGTGACAATCCTTCACAGCACAAGTCCCCCAGAGGGCTCACACACCTACACCTCTAGGAGCTCTGCATTCAGAGCCCAAGGAAGACCTGGGGAGGATGGGAGACTCCGTGCCCCTCCCAAACCACACCCAAGCTCGCTGCCAGCTGGAAACCCAGGGCCTCCCCCTTCCTCCCTGCTGCTCTGCTTCTGCACACACTCAGCTATTTATAGCCTCTGGCAACGCTCCAAACACAAGGCAGCCTCTGCCTTTTAATAGACACAGAGTTCCTGCCCGCGCTTGCTCACAGGGCCAGGGCACCCGTGCACAGGAGGCTCCCCTGACCCCCACCCACTCACCCATCCCAGCAGGAGAGGAAGCCGTGCTCCCAAGATGGGGCGTCTGCAGTATCCCCATACCCAGGGGCCCTGAGGGCAGCCTACCTCCGAGATACCAAGGCAAGTGGTTCGCCCCATCCCTGAGCCCCAGCCAAACCGACTTCTGGCCCCCAAAGGCACCACGTATGCAAGTAGCAGTGTCCCCCAACAAGCATTCCCTAGGTTCCCTCCTCGGGGCCTACACCTTGTTGGAAAGACCGTGGTCCTCCCCAAGTTCTCAGTCCAGGTGGGCAGAGAAACCCCACCCCTGGACACACGCCACCACTGAGAAAAACAAAAAAAACAAAAAAACACAGATTCCATTCCTACATTCCAGGAGCTTAACGTAAACAGACCAGTTTTGACACTCGAGGACAAGCACCGAAGGTGTTTCCCAGTCCAGCTGGCCTTGCACACAACCCAGTATGTGCTGAGGGGAAGCAGGGGAAATCCTACCAGGATCCTGCCTATGAGGACTCGAAGCACTACAGAGAAGGAAGAATGACAGAAGGACAGAAAAACGAGGGCGATTTAGGCAGAGCCTCAGTGGGAGGCTGTGAAGCTAGAGTGGCCATGCCTCGCCTGGGGTTCCCTGAGCTCTGGGCTTGGGGTACATCCGGCCCAGCCAACATCTCCCAGGGAACTTCAAACCCCAGCAACCAACAACCTGCTGAGCTCCACCCTTGGCTCCTGCAGCCCTTCCGCAGCACCCCACCCTCCCCAGGGAGTAGGTGCCCAGCCCCGATCACGTGGGCATTGCAGACCAGAGAGAAAGGGGTGTCACCCACCACGTCCACTTCGGACCCCAGCTGGCCGTCAACATGCCAAGGTGCACCCTCCTCCCAGAAGCCCGCGTGCCTGACAGGTGGCCAAGTGAGGCATGCCCGGTGCCCTCCCTCACGGTCCAGACTCCAGGTCCGTCCAGAGAGAAGAGGCAGCCTTCCCCTAGCCAGCGGCCAGGCTCCCTTCCCGGGAGGCTCCTGTCTTAGGCTCCCCTAGCCCTGCCCTCCTCAGAAGGCAACCCTGCAGTTAGCTGAGCACTTGCTGCCCCAACAGGTTCTTCCAGAGGAGCCACTTGCTGCCCCAACAGGTTCTTCCAGGGGAGCCAAGAAGGGCCCAGACACCTGAAGGTTAGGTGACCTTATCTGGTATCCAAGTTCATTACTCCACCTCCCCCACAACCAGAGTAAGAATGGCCAGGGTGTGGGGACTAAGAACCTAGAAGGGAGGACAGGGAGGTGCAAGGAGGGAGGCTGGAGTGTGAGAGAGAGACACACGGACAACACACACACACGCTGGAGTGTGCACCCACCGTGGAGTGGCACATACGCAGAGTGGGACAGAAAAGAATCCAAAATGTGTGTACCTTTTATCTTTGACCTTTTACACGAGAAGAACTCTTGAGTGGGTTTCCAGCAGCCAAACAATTTCTGATTCATTTGCTTTTTTGCCCTGACCCATTTATTTGTGAGCCATCCACATCGATACACATTTATTTAACAAACACGCAGCAGGCACTACACCAAGCATTTTACAAACAGTAATTTAATGCTGAACTGAGGCACCAAGAGGTGAAGTACCTTACCCAAGATATTATTGAGGGCCAAAACCAGGTTTTGAACCCAGGCAGCCTGGCTCAACGGTACATGCCCTGGGGCCTCCCCCATAGCTCCGCAATGCATGTGTTCCCGGCGCATACAGTCCACCGTATGACGTCACCACAACTTACGTACCCATCCTCTTGATGAACTTCTAGGTTATTTATAAGAGGTGCTGATTTGATTACCGCCACCATGAAGCCTCTTGACTCCTCTTCTGTGTTTTCTTGTGCTCATGTGAGGGAGGCATTTAGGGTGTACGTCAGAGATGCTGGGT